ATAGATCACAGTACAGGCAAGGTCAAGAAGTAAGTGAGAAGACACAGGAACAAGACCAAGTGCAGTACAGAAGCTCTGATGGTCACGAAGCGAAAGTGCCTTGGTGAACACATCAGCATTGTTGGCCTGAGAGGCCACGTAGGCAAGACGAAGCTGACCACGCTACTGCAGCTCCCTAGCAAGGAAATAGCGAAGAGCGATGTGCTTCGTTCTATGCTCCAATCTCTCTTCACGTCACAAGGCAAGCATTGCCTTGTTATCGACGTACAGAACTAGAGGAGAACGAGGCACCTCGCCCAAGTCAGTCAGCAGGTAGGTGAGCCAAAGCAGCTCATGTGCAGCCATGGCCCCTCACAGCTGGAGCTGAGAACAGAAGACGAGTGGGTAGACCGCCACGAGAAAGAACCGGAGCCAAGGCTGAAGGTGTAACCCTGCGACGACCGCTGCGTAGCCAAGTCATCAACCCAAGAATCGTCTGCGTGACCAGTGAGAACAACAAGACCCCGTCCCCCAAGCATGAGCCCCACGCCCGACGTACTGCACAAGTAGCGCATCACCCCCTTAGCTGCCTTCCAGTGCTCTGGATGGTGTCTCCTGGGCGCAACGTAGCGTGCCAGGATGCTAAGAGGGTAAGCGAGGTCAGGGCGAGTGCATGTCATCAGGTACATGAGGCAGCCCACAAGCTCTGGATATGGGCCACTCGGCTCTACGGACTCATGCGAAGGCAAAGCTGAGAGCGAGCGACCAGTAGGCAGAGGAGTGGATTGTGGCAAAGAGAACTGGAAGTCGAAGCGCTGAAGGACCTGCTGCACCATGTGTGACTGGGTCAGAGAGATAGTGCGGCGTGCTATGTCCCGAGTGATCTGCAAGCCAAGATAGCTGCGCAGCTCACCCAGGTCTGTGCACGTGTGTCTCTTCTACAACTCCGACTTCACAAGAGTCAGTGCCTCAATGTCAGCAGTACCAAAGACCAAGTCGTCGACGTACACGAGGATGTAGAGCGGCAACAGTGAAGTGTCGGTGCGTAGAAACAACGACGGGTCAGCAGTAGAAGGAGCAAACCCAAGAGCCGCAAGTGTAGTCCTCAATGTGTCGTGCCACTCACGAGGTGCCTGGCGGAGACCATAGACTGGCCGCCGGAGGCTCCACTGGGTACCAGGGGGAAACGACCTAGTGAAGCCAGGTGGGCGGCGTAGCCAGATCTCCTCGTGCAGGCTGCCCTGTAGAAAGGCTGTGCTGAAGTCAAGAGAGTGAAGCTCGTAGTTACGCTGAGCATCGACGTGCAGCAGTACCCGAAGAGTGGTCATCTTCGGGGTGGGAGAGAAGGTCTGAAAGTAGTCAACTCCCTGTCGCTGGCTAAAGCCAGGAGTCACGTAACGCACCTTGAAGACAGGCGGAGAACCCAGCGGCCGCTTCACCGTGAAGATCCACATGCCCTCGACAATGTTCGCCCAAGGTGGGGGAACCTCGTCGACGAAGGTGCCTGTGGACTTCCAGGAAGCCATCTTTGCGTCCATGGCTGCCTGCCACTGAGAGGAGTAGGGACCCTCAACCGCCTCTGCGTAAGAGCGCGGAGTCGGGATGTCTAGTGCATCCGGGTCTCCCTCAGGGGCAAGCAACATGGACACGAGATGATGTGAAGCAGCAGCCAAACACTGGAACTCCTCCTGCTTGTCCTCAAGGACGTCCGTGCTAAGGGCTCACTCACCCCCGACGGACGGAGGACAGACAGACCCAGACTCAGCAACAAGACTAGCAGCGTAGTCTAGACAACAGCGAGCAGCAAAGTCGACAAGCTCGGCAACCAGAGCAGATGCAGTAGTAGACTCAAACGAAGGGTTAGTGACAACAGTAGCCAGGAGATGGGTGACAGTGGGACTAGCAGCACGAAGGGAGTCAGACTCCGGGTCAGCAAGGGCAGGAAGAGAGGACTCAGGAGGAGACGGCAGAGGGACACGCTGTGGAGCGGTGGAAGGACGCAGAGTCATCCGCTGCATGCCAGCGACAAGAGGAGGACGCGAACTACGACAACTAGCGCGAGCAGCACGAACAAGCGACGCAGGACGAGACGCAGGCTCACGACACTCAGCAAGACCTCCTGTCGGACCAGCGGATGGAGACCAAGCAGGCAGTGGGGAGGTGGGCTGTAGCTATGACGGCGACAGGACAGGTGGTGGACACTCTACGGAAGGGGGTGGCCTAGGAGAAGGCGAGAGACCAAGAACTTGCTCAAGTAGCGGAACGAAGTACGACCGCGGCCGCTTAGCACCCCTAGAACCAGTAGCAGCACCACCAGCAGCTCTAGCAGAACCACCAGCTCCACCAGCAGCTCCAGCAGCACCTCCAGCAGCTCCAGCACCAGCAGCACCAATAGCAGCACCACCAGCAGCTCCAGCGGCTCCACCAGCTCCAGCGGCAGCTCCAGCAGCACCTCTAGTAGCTCCAGTACCAACAGCAGCACCACCACCAGCTCCAGCAGCACCTCCAGTAGCTCCAGCACGAGCAGCACCACCAGCAGCACCCCCAGAACTAGAACCAGCAGCTCCAGGGTCTCCAGCTCGAGTACCTCCAGCAGCCGCACCCCCAGACCCGGTACCTCCAGTACCAGAGTCTACAGCAGGACCTCCTCCAACACCATCGGCCCCGGCAACTCGGGTACCTCCACTACGAGCACCTCCAGGGCCTGTGGTGTCAGCAGCACAAGTGTCTCCAGCTCCAGCTGCAGTACCGCTAGCTCCAGGATGCCTCCGCAGTCGCTGACGAACCGCAAAACACTCTCGCAGCCTCTAGTATAAGGGGCCGGCGAGACACCGGTCCAGCACCCTCCAGCTCAGTGCGCCTAGGCTCTGCACCCTCCAGGACCTCACGCACCGGCACAGCACCCTCAGGCCCCGCACCCTCCAGTACCTCACCTTGAGACGCAGCACCTCGAGCAGTACCACCCTCAGCAGCACCTGAGTCGCAAGTGACCTCGACAGGCTCAGCTAAGGGAGGTGGGTCTACCTGAGACACACGTGAAGGAGCAGGACCCTGGGGGGGAAGGGGGTCTGCCGGAGGGGGACCTGGAGCGAGGAAGAGCGGCGGGGGAGGGAGAGGGGCAGTGCGATAGGGAAAGAGGCGGTAGAAAGGGACTGACTCGTCAAACTGTGACGTCCTGAGAAGACAGGACACTGCGCGAGGCAGGGAGGAAAAACTGCCAGCCAGGCGCGTCAGTCAGAAAGCCGAGGAGGAAACAGGGAAGGGTGCGGGAGGAGAGCTTATCCGCGGACGTATCGCGAACAAGAGCACGTGCACCCCAGACCCGGAACACCGACGCGTCACCAACCTCCCCCGTCCACCTCAGTGTGGGCGAGGTCTCTGGAACGGAGACACGAGGCCAGAGGTTGAGCTGCTATGCGGCGTATCGGACCGCAAACGGCCACAGAAAATGGGAAGCCGCCGCATGGATCAAGGACGTACGAGCGATCTCCATGACCAGGCCAATGCGGCGCTCAGCATCCCCATTTTGCTGCGGTGAGCCCGGAAGCGTGTAAGACTGGGTGATGCCCTCCTCCTGACAGAAGCCACGCAAGAGGTCGGAGGCGAACTCTCCGCCCCTGTCAGAGTGCAGACGCAGAACAGGGAAGTCGGCCTGAAACCTCCTGCGTAGTTGGAGACGAACCGCTCAGATCCAAGGGATCAGGCCCGCAGGGACCTCACCCTTGGAGCGCAAGGGGAAGACCGTGGTGTAACGCGAGTAGTCGTCAACTACCAGCAGGAAGTACCGCTCTCCACCCCGTCCACTAACGCGGGCGGGGCCCCACACGTCCACGTGGAGAGTCTGCAGCGAAGCCTCTGTCGGAGGAAACGAGGAGTGAGGAGTGGCGCGCTGCCGCCCCTCGACGCAAGGAAGGCAGGCCGGGGCAGGCGAAGCAGGGAGGGGAGGCAGGGTCCGGGGAACACCAAACACAAGGACACGACGGTGCATGTCACGAAGACGGGGCAGGGAGGGGTGGCCCAGACGGTGGTGCCAAAGAACGGTCTGGTGCGACAGGGAGTGACACGAGCAAGGGGAGTCTAGCTGACCTGACGCAGACGCCTGACCAACAGCAGTGACCTGGGGAGACACAGTGGTCAGTGTGTAAAGGCTCGACCCCAGCGCACACGTGAACGTGGCCAGGTGTCGCCCAGTCCTGGAGCACGTACAGATCGCCACACGCTGTCCTCCAGGGGTGAAGGTATCAACACAGTGGTCCTGAAGGACAGCGTTGCTCACCAAGTTCGTAGAGAACGAGGGGAGGTGGAGACCTGACAGCGAACCAGACGGGACCGCTGGGCAAGGAAGCACAGTGGTAGACCGTGCAAGTGTCAGAATCCCAACCACTAGACCATTGGGATAAAAGGGCTTGTTTGTGTAGCAGGTGAGTGCGCCCATGACCCCCCAGGCCAACGTGCTTGTAACCCTTCCCTAGGATCGATCGAGGATCACCAGTGGGCCTCTGACACCCCCCCGCACTGGGATGCCCGAGGAGCACACACTGGGATTCGAACCCGAGATCTTCGCTCTGATAGCATGTCAGAATCCCAGCCACTAACCACTGGGATAAAAGGGCTTGTTTAAGTAGCGGGTCAGTGCGCCCATAACCCCCCAGGCCAACGTACCTGTAACCCTTCCCTAGGATCAATCGAGGATCACCAGTGGACCTCTGACACCCCCCCGCACTGGGATGCCCAAAGTGCATACACCGGGATTCGAACCCGAGACCTTCGCTCTGATACCATGTCAAAATCCCAACCACTAGACCATTGGGATAAAAGGGCTTGTTTGTGTAGCGGGTGAGTGCTCCCATGACCCCCCAGGCCAACGTGCCTGTAACTCTTTCCTAGCATCAATCGAGGATCACCAGTGGGCCTCTGACAGCAAGGACTGGACCCCCCGAGGGGTCAGCCGGGGAGACTGCAACTGGTGCAGGGAGCGGTGTGAGGGCTGTGCTGTCACGGAAGAAACACCTGGAAGCACCTCAGTCAAGAATGAAGGTGTGCAAGGCGGTAGAAGGCGCAGCACCTGACAGAGCAGACTCACCCACACCTAAGGCAGCTGACGTGGTACCTTAGAGCGCAGACTCGCAAGCACCAAGAGCTGCTGGCTCTATACCTGGATCAGGCGGCAGACACAGGCAGCAGTCACCCTCAGCACTAACAGACAATGCATACATGGCAGCAAGAATAGCATCATAGTCAAGAGCAAAGATGTCTACACCCTTCTTAAGCAGATCAAACCAGCGAGGGGTCTCAACCTCTGCACCCATCTCCTCTTGCCAGGCGTCGTCAAGGCGGGAGAAGCAACGCTGCTGGGGGTGGGGCTTGCCGCATGTCTGACCAGCACGCTCACCAGTGCGAATGACATACGGACAGCGAGTACCCCCAGACGTACCCCTATGAGCCAACCACTCACGAAGCTGCTGAGGCGTAAGGGACCGCTGCTGTTGCTGTCTCTGACCATCGCCTCCACCATGACCGCCACAGCCTCCGCTGCCTCCACCACCGCCGCTACCGCCACCACCGCCACTCCCACCGCCGCCGCCACCACCACCACCTCCACCACCGCCGCTGCCACTCCCACCAGCACCCCTGCCGCCGCTGCCTCCACTCCCACCGCCACCCCACCCTCCTCCACCTCCTCCTCCGTCGCCACAGCCACCACCACCCTTGCCCCCCTTGCCCTTGCCGGTGAGGCGCCGCCCGGTAGAAGTGGAGGCAGCACCAACCGAGTCGTCTCCGAGGAAGTCTACAGCGGCAGCAGTGGCGTAGGAGGGGGCAAGAGGGGAAGAAGCGCACCCCTCAAAGATGGGGGTGCGAGGAGCGCCACGAGCAGCAGCCACACTAACAATGTTGCTCTCAGCGGCTAAGAGGTGCTCCTCTAGGAGGTCTATGGTGAGGTCGGAGGGACAGCGCGCTAGGTCGTGGTCCCTGACTGAGCGAAGGGTGTCAGGGAGGCGGGTCACTTTAAAGTGGAGCGTCCAGTACATCGGAGGGGGGTGCTGGACAACAAACTCCTTGCGGAGTGTGGCACGGACGCGAGCGTCTCTAGAGCGAAGGTGGGTGATGAGGTCGGCTATGGTGGCAAAGCTCGACAGCTCGGAGAACAGGTACGGCAGCATGAGGCGGCTGAGCGCAGCAGTGGCAGGGGAGGAGTAGCAAGCAACTACAGCGTCGTACAGGGCCTTAGCGGTTTTGTGCTCGCCAAAGTGCTTGAGTTCCGCTAGCGGCAAGTGGTTGCGAATAGCAAGGCGGGCAACAGCATCGCGCGTCAGCCACTGAGAGCACTCGCTAAGGGCAGCTGTGTCAGCAGGAGCGGCTAGGGCACCGGAAGTGTGGTCAAAGAGGGAGATCTCGTCTTTGCTGGTGCTAATGAGGTAGAGCTGCAAGTCATCTAGCCAGGATTCGAACTCTACAAGGCGGCCCTCAGTGTCGAATGGAAGAACATGAAGGATGGCCATAGTGCTAGGTGGTGACGAGCAGCAGAAGTAGTGTGCAAGAAGGGCGCGCGACACGCGAGCAGGGATCAGGTAGGGCGCGCGGCAGGAGGGCGCTAGCACAGGTAACATGTCAGGCAGAGCGTGCGGCAGCAAGGAGCGCGACGAGCAGGGCGTGCGGCAGTAGGGCGCACGACGCAGCATGGCGGGCGAGGCGGCAGTAGGGGCGCGACGCAGCAGGGCGGGCGAGGCGGCAGTAGGGGCGCGACGCAGCAGGGCGGGCGAGGCGGCAGCAGAGCGCGCGACGCAGCAGGGCGGGCGTCACGGCAGTAGCGCGGGTGACGCAGCAGGGCGGGCGTCGCGGCAGCAGCGCACGCGACGCAGCAGGGCGGGCGACGCAGCTGAAGGGCACGCGACGCGGCGGGCGGGCGACGCAGCAGCAGCACGCGCGATGTGGCGGGCGGGTGACGCGGCAGCAGAGCACGCGACGCGGCGGGCGGGCGACACGGCAGCAGCGCGCTCGACGCAGCCGGGCGGGCGACGCGATAGCAAGGCGCGACACAGCGGCAGGGCACAATACAGCAGCAGTGCACGACGCGGCAGCAGGGCCCGCTTGGGGCGACAGCAAGGCGCGCGACGCAGCAAAAAAAAAAAAAAAAAAAAAAAAAAAAAAAAAAAAAAAAAAAAAAGGGTTTAGGGCAGTGGGCCTACTGAGTTAGGTCGTAGGGACCTCCTGCTCTGAAACCATTTTCAGAATACTAGGCAGGAATGAATGAACTATGAAAGTGTTGGGTATAAATATGAAACCCTAGAAGGGGCTGTACCCCATATTGGCTACCCCACTACAGCCTAAACATATATAGCATATATATAATTTGACAGCAATGAGCCGTCAACTCCACGCCGCGCTGCCTACGGACCCGCTCCCGAACCGCGTGAACCCAAATTCGTTCTTGGAACCATCCCGGGAACCAACATTCCCCTCTCCTAGATCTGTGACAGAGAATTTCTGGCGCTGATGTGTGAAGATAGGTAAACAGGAATGAAATGACTAAGTCAGGAATTGGTACAAAAGGGAAACCTAATTGTGTTGTACCCCTTATGGGATACCCCACTGTAGCCTACACAAACAGGTAAGCTATATGTTCTGACACACCCCCATAGGCAAAGTGGGGGAGAACAAGAGGTCACAAGACCAGTCAAGCAAAGCAAAGCAAGCTCGGGGTGGATCACAAAGTCACCACACAGTCCGAGCACAAGAGCAAGGCCAAAGGCCAGTTCACATGCAAGAGTACAGACATATATATAAAGCAAGACAAGCAAGAGCAGGTATATATATGTCACAGTACAAGTAAAGTCAAGAAGAGAGCAAGTGAGGCAAGACAGGCACAAGACCCAGCTGGGTACAACAGCGCTGATGGTCACAAGGCGCCAGTGCCTTGGTGAACACATCAGCAGTGTTGGCCTCAGAGGCCACGTACGCAAGTCGCAACTGACCACGCTGCTGCAGCTCACGAGCAAGGAAGTAGCGGAGAGCAATGTGCTTCGTTCTGTGCTCCAAGCGCTGCTCTCGACACAAGGCCAGCATGGCCTTGTTGTCTACGTACAGCACTGGAGGAGAACGAGGCGGCTCTCCAAGGTCAGTCAGCAGGTAGGTGAGCCAGCGAAGCTCCTGTGCAGCCATGGCCCCGGCGTAGATCTCAGCCTCACAACTGGAGCCGAGAACCGAAGACGAGCGAGTAGACCGCCACGAGACAGAGCCGGAACCAAGGCTGAAGGTGTAACCCTGTGACGACCGCTGCGTAGCCTGGTCGTCAGCCCAAGAAGCGTCCGCGTGGCCTGTAAGGACCACTGGACTGCGCCCTCCAAGCACTAGCCCCATGCCTGACGTACTGCACAGGTAGCGCAATACCCTCTTCGCTGCAGCCATGTGCTCTGGTCGGTGTCTCCCAGGAGCAACATAGCGTGCAAGGATGCTCAGAGGGTATGCGAGGTCGGGTCGTGTGCAGGTCATCAGGTACATGAGGCAGCCAACAAGCTCTGCATACGGACCACTCGACTCTACGGACTCATCCGAAGGCAGAGCTGAGAGTGAGTGGCGAGTAGGCAGAGGAGTGGCCTGAGGCGAGGAGTACGTGAAGCCGAAGCGCTGAAGGACCTGCTGCACCATGTGTGACTGAGTCAAGGTGATGGTGCGGCGTGCTCTGTCCCGAGTGATCTGCAAGCCAAGGTAGCTGCGCAGTTCACCCAGGTCTGTGCACGTGTGTCTCTTCAGCAGCTCGGACTTCACGTAGGCGAGTCCAGCAGTGTCCGCTGTGGCAAAGACCAAGTCGTCGACGTACACGAGGATGTAGAACGGCGGCAGGGAAGCGTCGGTGCGAAGAAACAGCGACGGGTCAGCAGTAGAAGGAGCAAACCCAAGAGCCGCAAGCGTAGTCCTCAGTGTGTCGTGCCACTCACGCGGTGCCTGGCGGAGACCGTAGACTGGCCGTCGGAGGCTCCACTGGGTGCCAGGAGGGAAAGTCCCAGTGAAGCCAGGCGGACGGCGCAGCCAGATCTCCTCGTGCAGGCTACCCTGCAGGAACGCAGTGCTGAAGTCGAGAGAGTGAAGCTCGTAGTCGCGCTGAGCGGCTATGTGCAGCAGCACCCGAAGAGTGGTCATCTTCGGGGTGGGAGAGAAGGTCTGAAAGTAGTCAACTCCCTGCCGCTGACTGAAGCCACGAGCAACGTACCGTGCCTTGAAGACAGGTGGAGAGCCCGGCGGTCGCTTCACCCTGAAGATCCACATGCCACTGACGATGTTCGCCCCAGGAGGGGGAACTGCGTCAACGTAGGTGCCTGTGGACTTCCAGGAAGCCATCTCTGCATCCATAGCTGCCTGCCACTGAGAGGAGTAGGGACCCTCTACGGCCTCCGCGTAAGAACGCGGAGTCGGGATGTCTAGTGCATCCGGGTCTCCCTCAGGGGCAAGCAGTACAGACGCGAGGTGAGGTGAAGCAGCCGCTAGACACTGTAACTCCTCCTGCCTGTCCTCTAGGACGTCCGTGCCAAGAGCACACTCACCCCCGACGGACGGAGGACAGCCAGACACAGACTCAGCAACAAGACTAGCAGCGTAGTCGAGACGACAGCGAGCAGCAAAGTCAACGAGCTCAGCGACCAGAGCAGACGCAGCAGTGGACTCAAACGAGGGGTCAGTGACGACAGTAGCAAGCAGACGCGTGACAGTAGGACTGGCAGCGCGAAGAGAGTCCGACTCAGGGTCGGCAAGCGCAGGAAGAGAGGACTCAGGAGGAGAAGGCAAAGGGGCACGCAGAGGAGCCGTGGACGGACGCAGAGACATCCGGTGCGTGCCAGGGACAGGAGGAGGACGCTGACGCGAACTGCGACCACTAGCGCGAGCAGCACGAACAGGCGACGCGGGACGAGACGCAGGCTCACGACGCTCAGCAAGACCTCCAGTAGGACCAGTGTAAGGAGAGGGAGCAGGCAGCGGAGAGGAAGGCTCCAGTAGGGACTGCGACTGGACAGGCGGTGGACCCTCTACAGGAGGAGAAAGACCAAGAACCTGCTGCAGGAGCGGAACGAAGTACGGCCGAGGCCGCGCGGCAGCTCCAGACTCAGCAGGGACAGTACCAGCACCCTCAGCGACAGCACCAGCGCCACCCACACCTCCAGCGGCAGGTCCAACAGCAGCAGGCTCAGCACCAACGCCCTCAGCAGCTCCAGCTCCAGGAGGACCAGTAGGTCCAGCAGCTCCGGGACCAGCAGCACTCGCACCCTCGACGGTCGAAGAAGCTCCAGCTCCAGCTCCAGCAGCACCTCCAGACTCAGCAGCACGCCTCCAGCGGCGAGCGAACCACTCGCGCAGCTCCGGTGGAGAGAGGGGCTCCCGGCGAGACGCAGCAGCAGGAGAAACCCCAGGCTCAGCAACTCTAGGCGCGGCACCCCCAGGCTCAGCAGCTCCCAGCTCAGTACCCTCAGGCCCAGCAGCTCCCAGCTCAGCACCCCCAGACTCAGCACCTCCAGGCACAGCACCCCCCGGCCCAGTACCCCCAGGCTCCGCACCCACCGCAGTAGCACCCCCAGGCCCCGCACCCTCAGGGTCAGCACCCCCAGAGTCAGTACCCCCAGGCTCTGCACCCGCAGCAGCACCAGAGTCACCAGTAACCTCGACCGGGTCAACGGCGTCTACCTGGGACACACCTGAGGGGGCAGGAACCTGAGGGGGGAGGGGGTCGACCGGGGGGGGAACCGGCACAAGGAAGTCCGGGGGAGGGGGGAGGGAAGGAGTGCGGTAGGGGAAGAGACGGTAGAAGGGGACTGACTCGTCGAACGTGACGTCCTGGGAGGACAGAACACGACGAGAGGAGGGGTGGTAAAACTGCCACCCTGGGGCGTCAGTGGGGAAGCCAAGGAAGACACAGGGAGCAGCACGGGGGGACAGCTTGTCTGCAGACAAGTCGCGGACAAACGCCCGAGATCCCCAGACACGGAACACAGACGCATCGCCAACCTTCCCTGTCCACAGCAAGACTGGGGACATCGCAGGCCGAGAGACCCGGGGGTGAAGGTTGAGCTGATGCGCCGCGTACCTCACAGCAAACGGCCACAGAAAATGGGGGGCAGCCGCATGCATCATGGACGTACGAGCGACATCCATGACCATGCCAATGCGGCGCTCAGCAATCCCATTTTGCTGTGGGGAGTCCGGAAGCGTGAAGGTCTGGCGGATCCCCCGTGCACGACAGTAGTCTCGCAGAAGGCGAGAAGAGAACTCTCCGCCTCTGTCAGAGTGCAGACGCAGAACAGGAAAGTCCGAGCCGAAGCTCTTCCTGAGCTGGAGACGAGCCTCGCGGATCCAGTCGATCAGCACCTCAGTGACCGCACCCTTGCTGCGCAAGGGGAGGACTGTGGTGTAACGCGAGTAGTCGTCAACCACTAACAGGAAGTAGCGCTCGTAACCCTGCCCACGGACGGGGGCTGGGCCCCACACATCCATGTGAAGCGTCTGCAGGGGAGCCTCTGTCGGGGGGAAGTGGGAGGAGTGAGGAGTAGCCCGGAGGCGACCCTCGACACAGGGGACACAGGAAGGTCCTGGCCCGGAGGGGAGAGGAGGGAGAGACTGGGGAAGACCAGAGACAAGGACACGGGAAGCCATGCTCCGAAGACGGGGCAAGGAGGGGTGGCCAAGACGGTGGTGC